GGATTAATTTATTGAACTATGTTTGTGGTTTTCTCCCAGTATAATTCCTTCTTCTTTCCATTAGATTATTAGCTTTTTAATAGTTTCCATAAATTTATTTTATTATTCCTTGTTTTAAGAATTTTTACAGGAAAACAGAAGCAGCCAGAAGGCAGAATTGATCTTTTTTGAATGCCTCAATTCTAAAACAGATAGAGAAGGCTTTTCCAGGCATCTGAGCAAGCACCTAGGCCCTGCTCCATGCAGCTGTGGTAACACACAAAAAAGGAAACATACATCAGGGATTATGACTGAAAGATGTCTTTTAGGTTTAGATTCTTTTACCAAGAGGGAATGTGGAACTTTTCTGTTTATCTGTGCCTATGTGAGATTTTTTTCTTTACCTTTAAATGTGTACCTATTATTTTGCTCATGGAAGTAGCCCCCAAATTTTGTTTGTATTAGGTGAACAATGAAGTTTGAGATCTCAATCTACCTATGTGGAAGAAAAGCAAGATTCTGGTGAGTGTCAAAACAATAGGGGACAACTTACAGAGTTAGAGGATCCCAAGAATGGTCTCAAAGAAAAGGTTTTGAATACAGGCAAAAAAAAGTTGATAAAGAAAAAAATATTGAAAAGGTACAAAATATCTATTATTAAATATGCATAGAAGCAATTTTAGTACATTCTTATTTGGCATATCATAATTGACTCCTGATGGTTTGAAAATTATAAATAAGTCCTGTAACATTTTCCACAATTAGAGTATAATTGCCCAAATCCTGCCAATATGTAGAAAAAATAATCGTTTAACAAAAAACATCCTTGGATATAATGACTTAAGCAATGAGGAGCTTGTGGTCAGATGGTTGGCCTGTGGGCAGAGCACAATCATCTATCAGTTCTGTATGTTCCTTCCTCCTGGGAGACTCAGGTCCTTGATCAATTGTCTTCCAAATTCCTCTGGAAGTGTACATAAACAGCCCTGGATTTTATTATGTTTGGCATTTTATTTTACATTTTCTCACTTTAGTTATTTGGCTCATATGTGGCTCATATGTGAATGATTTGATGGTACTTCTGTTTTCTCAATACTCAGCATACCTGGTATAGTACTAGAGTTATGGTTTATCCATAATACAAAGTAAACTGAATAATTTCTATTTTATGAAACTTATTATATTTTATACCGATAGGTATTTTCTTCATAGAAGCTAAAAAACCTTATTCAGAAATCATGGTCTCAGATGTACAGTGTTAATTTGATTTAAGATCTGTCCTGACATGACCTATCCTTTGTATATAGGAGGAGCAGCCATTAGAATTACAGAAATCTTTCGTATAGTTTTATTATTCACACAGATTTATTTCCCATATCCCAGGAAAGTAATCACTCAACAATTTCAACATATAATCAGGGTGTTATTTCCTGTGCCCTGGAAGGTACTTCCAAGTGTCATTTTCCTGATTTATTTATGTTTTCGTTAGGCCTCATTTTGTCAGGAAGGTCTTTCAGAACTATATGAGAGAGTGAATCACCTCCTTTTATGTGCTTCCCCTGCATCTCTCTGACATTTGAACAATTCCCTTTCCACCTGGAATAATATATGTGACTTGCCCTATTATACTGTGTACCCTTGGGAGCACGGACAGTATTTCATTCATCCTTTTATTCCCAGCTCTTAATCCTGGGCCTGACATGGTGCCCACTACATACTAACCATACAGGTGTTTCATAAATATTTGTTGAACCTGATTTGAAATTTCTTATCATAGTGGTTAAGAGCATGGACTCTGGCACTGGCATCTGGGATTTAAATTCAGGCCCAAGGCAGGCATGGTGGCATACCACTACTAGGGAGGCTGAGGCGAAAGGACTGCTAGAGCATCCACCTACCAATCTGAAGCCAGCCTGGGTGAGTCTGAAAACCAAAACAAAACAATGACAACAAGACAAACAAAAAACTACACCTACAGTGAATAAATCCAGACCCAATCACTTATTATTGGACCTTTTCCAATTTACCTAGTGTCTTTATGTCTTATTTTCTTCAATTTCAAAGTAGGGATAGTGATCATAAGTTTATTGTGACCAATAAGGGAGTGAACTTACAAGCACATATCCATATACATAACTTAAGAGTGCAAGTGAAAGGTCTAGGAATATAGACATGTTATTAGTTTTATTCACATAGACACTTGAATATGTCATTCCTATAATATTTATTACCATAATTTCTAGAGTGAATTTAGGGATGATTCTTCACAGATCTGTGGATCCTTCCAAATAATGCCTTCACTCATTAGTGAAGAGAGAAGTACCACTGGTGGAATATCACACAATTAGTGAGCAAGCGAGGGGACAAGTTCTCATATTGCATACACAGGTTGGGTCACTAAACTATTCGAAACTAAATTCTCCTGTACATTCTTCAGTCCAAACTTTACCTAAAGTCTCATGCAATTCCAAAATATTTCTGATTCAAGGGCCTTTCCTTAGAATTTCCCTTTCCCTCACTACTTTCATACTTTCAACCTAATCCAGTTACTGTTTAATGATAGGATTTTAGCTATGTGCTTGACTGGCTGACATTAACTAACATCAACAACGAGAGTCAATGTTTGGAGACTTACTTGCTTATTCCACTCTCTTACGTTAAAAAAAAGAAAAGTTATTCCCACCTCCATTATGAACTGTAGAGGAGATTTAAAAAATAATATTATTTATAGTTGAAACATTTTAAAGCAAATTAGAAATTAAGAGATGTGGAAATACCAGTTTGGGACATTCAAGGGGAGCTTCCTAATGGGCAATAAAAATGAAGGACTGTTTCTTGAATGATGAAGAGTCCAGAAATACAGATTTGATGGCCACATGTAGAAGCTGAAGCAGTAAAAAATAAGACTCCTCATAGAAATTCTGAATTTTGGTGAATATTTACAGGAGTGATGAAATATAATCACAGATGGAGGAAAATAAATTAAAATCACAAGTAGAAGAGAAAACAGAGAGAAAAATCAGGCTATTCTCTGAAACAAAGGGAAATGATAATTGAAGATTATCAACATTTGTCATCTGCTCTAGAAAAATCAGAAGAATGAACAGGTTATCAGACAAAAGGTAAAAATTATGGTGCAGAAAGAGAATCATAAAATTTTACATTTGGAAAGTTAATCCATCATTACATAAGCAAACTGTGTTCTGAGAGAGGTTGAACTTCATTCCCAGAGTCACTGTAGGGTAGAACCGTTTTGCTACTTTGGCCTTTTTACACTCACATGTGGCAACCCAATCTCTGAAAGTATGGAAGCTTTTAGCCATGCAATTTCTGGAAAGATGACTTTATTTGAAAGTCAAATAACTAAGATACAGTGTAAACTAATAAAGCAAAGAGAGCTGAGTGTTTCCATAGTAATTATTTAAACCTTTTACCTACAAAGTTGTACCACAAGTATACTTCCTATGTAACTCTAAGAGAACTTTATTCTATTCATCCAATACTCAACGAACAAACCAGTTATTTGTTTCCCTAAACAACTAGAAAGGAAACAGAGATGTGTGTATTGGGGGAAGAAGATAAGCCATCTCAACCTGCAGCATTTCACTGAGGAAGCCTAGGTTTCCTTAAGTGACATCGAAGAACATCCCAGTTTCATCCAGGTAATAACGTATTTTGAATTCTGAAGTCTAAGTTTTCTCTACATCCCACATCCTATACTGCAGAGCATAATTATATCAAAACCAGTAACCAGGAACCACTGGTCATAAAAACAATCAAGCAACAAAACAACATTAATGGAAAAACACCTCCTACTCCTACTCTAAAGAAACCTGACCCTAAGGAAGACAAATGAATCTTCTTAACACTAAAAAGAGAAGAACACCTTATATTACTGGGTAGCAAAAAGGCAGACCTATCACAGGGATGCTAGTTATACTAGGTTAATTCTAACCTTAGACAAACCATTTTTATTTTATACAGATAAAAATGTCATATGCCCTAATTCAATTTATAAATGGCTCAAAATTTCCTACTCTGTTTACTTGTCAATATATCCAGTAGAGTGTATAATTTAAAATATGTGCTTCCCAGAATACTGAGTGAGATATAAAAGACTTCATAGAGGCTTTCTCACAAGTAAATTTTGTAACAACAGGGAGCTTGCTATTAAGGAACAGAAAATGGAACCATTGGTTACAAGAGGAGAAATGAGTTCTGACAATTTAAATTGGTTCACTATTTCACTTACCTTCAGTTTTACAAAGTATTGAGGACAGTAATAAATTATGTAATACATGTGTTCAAATATTACATAATTTAAAGCAGTCTTTTATTATATTTTATAATAACAAATAGTCACTCTAACTTCTGCATTTGCTTTTTTTATATATACCTTCAGGACATAAAGCTTTTAAGATTCATAAACAGCAGAAAACATGTGAAACACAAATTTGTATTAAAACATTTTTCTTTGCAGGAATTCACTGACCCATTTTTCTAAAGTAAAACCGCTTCTGGGTTTTTACTTGCATTGAAACTATACCAAACACAGACCAATTATTTTCATACAGTACCTTGAAGACTATATTTCAAGTTGCACAACTGACCTTCTTTTCTATAAAAATATATAGATATAGTCTGAATTGTAGATAATTGAATTATGGAACATTTTGAAAAAGAGAATCCTGTTGCTTTTCTTGCATATAATTCAATTTGGATCTCTAATATTTCTTTGCATTTCCTTGCACATTTGTAGACATGGCCTTATTTTTTTTTTAGTTTACAGGAAAATATCTGATCACTTTGCAGATTAACAAATGATACCTTCTTCAGAGAGCTGTGCAGAAAAAAAAAATCCCATGAATTGAACAGATTTTCAGAGTTAAAAAAAATAAAGTTTCTTTGCCAAAGAAGAAACAAATACACACTATATTCCCAATACCAGTTGTAGCACGAAGGTCAATTTTTGTCACTCCAGCAAAAACTTGAGATGCTTAAGTGGAACGCACCTCACTTACCTGTTTGGCTGAGTTGAGATGTGCTTCTACTTCTCCGAGACACTATGGCAACCACTTTGGCACTCAGGCTGGATCTCCGCTTCTTCCCACCTGCTCCAACGGTTCCCACAGCTGTGTCTGACTGGCTGCCGTCATTATGCTCCAGTGTGTACATCTCTCCACTTACACTGGTGCTCTTCGTGATGGCTCTTCCTGAAGTCCCCATCCGTCTGCCTTGCATTTTGGGGGTAAATGAACTATATTTACAAAGTAAAAACATATATGCGTCCATAAATTACAGGTCAGCATAACTGAAATTCTAAATCTATTTATTTCTGAAATAATCCAGGCACAGTTTTATGGGGAAAAGCCAGTCAAGTACTAGACCTACAGCCACAGATACTCTGAGATCAAATCACCATCCCCGCAATGTTTAAAGAACAGCTTGTGACAATGCCATTTCAACAGAGTGAACTATGGACATTTTAAAAACAGTGAACAGAAATAACCAATGCTATCAGTGGGGAGATAAGTGTTACTGACCAGTGAACCTCTTATTTTTAAGTTTCCTTAAAATACTTGCAAATACTGACTCATAAGACCCTTACCACCACCTCATGTTTTCCTTTTCTATTTCCTGTTTCAAAGTGCAAAATACACATTAGCAAACAGAGAACCTTTAACAGTGATGATGGCAGTCAAGGTGTGAGTCAGAATAAATCCTAATATTATGACAAATAAAAGTTATGAGAGTAATCTATGCAGCAAGCATTACCATTTAGGGAGGCTGAATTAAGAAGTTATATTAAAATGTTTTTGTGAATATATTTTGAGATATAATTTTTCCTCAAAAAATAAGATATCTCTTAGATGCTTGAAATCATTTTTATATGGTATGAGGACAAGTATGACTTCCTAAATAATTTTGCACATTATGATATTCAATAATAAGACATTAAAGCATTTTCACTTCTTCTGTCTACCTAGACAGAAGAATTAGTCTGATTCATCTAATAACCCAAAGGTCATGATTTTAGCACTAATGTATATCCATTTCTTAGTCTTAATTTTTTTCTGCTTCTATTGCTTGAAAAATTATTACTATCATTTATGTGAACCTTTCAGATGAAAATTAAGGCCTTCTGCTTTATAAAGCTTTCCAGTCTTTCTGACATCAAGACTATTGTCACCCAACCCTTTCTTTTTTATTTGTTTACTAGTAACACTAAGATTTGATTAATATATGTCGGTATATATAGGTTATGCAACATCATAACCTATATGCAGCACCCTTTCCATTGCTCAATTAGCTGATTTCAGAATAGGTAATAAAGTGATTTATTAGTACGTAAATATAATTCTGAGATGAGTTCACTTTAAGTTCAAACAAAAATCCCATCGTCATTATTTTATCTCCCTTTTCCTTCGAGTTACTAATATTTTGCTGAAAAGTCTCTTTAAGGAGACTTTTAGTGATACATCTGCTCATCCTTTTCTCTTCTGCACTAATTTGAGTCACATTTGTCTCTATCACTTCACTAAAACTACTTTTCATCAATGCCACCAATCTAGTAGAGAAAATGACCAACAGATAGGTTTTATTGATTTAAGGCACATTATCCAGTTGTGAATCTTACCAACCTTATATTAGTATTCTTAAATCTATTTGTGTATATAATTACGTGAGTTTCTCAAATCATCCTTAGGACTACCTTGTCATTCTGGTAGTTTTCTAATATGTTCAGTAAAACTTCAGAATTTGCTATTTTTTTCTGATAATCATGCTTTGATTTTGAGAACTATGCTTTGATGTTGTGGAAGTCCCATTAAAACAGTTCAAATGGACTCCCTTCTGCAGTAAATTAAGCTGTGTTGTCTTCATGGGCTCAGGTCTCCAAGCCCACACTTGCCCTTTTTTTTTTTTTTGGCCTAGATTTAATCTTAAAAGGCAACAGAAAGGTTTCCTGTTTATGTTTTCTTATTTCCTACTTTGGTTTATAATGTGTGTTTTATTTTTGTTGTGTTTGTTTCTATTTCTGGTTGGTAACTTTGGCTCTGATTTTGCTTTGCTTGTGCTAATAATACATTCCCAACTGGTGTCAACAACAATAGGAAATCTATCTGCAGATGAAGTCTCTTTGGATGACAGACATCAGGGATATGTTGACATATGTTGACAGTCGGGTGGCAGATGACAGAAAATTTGGTTTGTTAGTTCTTCGAATGTCTGATTGTTTGTATGCTACTAAAAGCTCAGATCCTATCACTCCGGAAAAAGTCTTGCACACACTGAAAAGAGCACAGTCCTATAAAGTCTGAGATTAGGTTTCCTTGTTAATTTTGATCCTATGGCTGAGTGATAAAACGGAAGCTTCTAGTTCTCTTTACTAAAAATAGTTTTTTAATTGGTGATAAAAAAATCTTTTACTATGTGTGTATTCTAGGGATAGCTATCAGAGTGAACAAATAATAGATCCCAATGTACCTCATATTTAACAAGCTCCTATTCTGATTGATCTATATAGATTAACAAATTCACTATAATTCCACTATGAAGAACTAAAAGATCCTCAGAGAAGAAACTAAATCTCCCACTTTGATATTAATTTGTAAGAAAAATCTATCCTTAAAAAAATTGCTAACTTAGAAGAACTTTAATATATCCCATCTGATTCAAATGCATGATATGTCAAGGTCATTGTACTGTCATGTGTAACTAATTAAAACAAATAAAAAATTAAAAAAATCTAAAACCACAAAGTGTACATATCCAAGTACTTTCATAATTTTGGCTGAGCGTCATTATGAAAACCAAAATAAGATTTCACTTCTCATGTACTAGGATACCTATCATAAAAGAAACTTTAACAAGTGTCGAGAATCTGAAAAAAACTGGAACCCTCAACAATGCTGTCTGGAGTGTAAAACAATGCCAGTGCTTAGGAGAATACTTTGGCAGTTTAGTTAAATGTAAATATATTGAAACCCAGAGTTGCCAGAGGATCCAACAATTACATTCAAAAGTTGAACATACAGTCATCATATGATCCAACAATTTCATCCCTAGGGATACGTGCAAGATAACAAAAAAAGGTATTTTCCCACTTAAATATGAATGCTCATATCAGCATTAGTCATAAAAGTAGTAAAGTAGAAACAACCCAAATGACCACTCAACAAAATGTGGTATACTCATACTCTAGAACATTAACCATAAAAAGGAATGAAATACAGATTGATGTTACCAATGTAGATGGAAGTTGAAAACATGTGAAAGCCAGAAATAAAAGCCTATGTATGGCACAATTCCATCTAAATGAAATAATTTAGAATCAAATCCATAAAGACAGAATAAAGATCAGTGGTTGTTGACAGCTAGAGAAGAAACTGGGATGACTGTTAATAGGTACATGATTCTCTGGGGGAATGAGAATTATGTTACTTAATTAGGTAGTAGTGATAATTGCCCAACTTTGTGACTGTACTGAAAACTACTGTATTGTACGCTTTCTTGGGGAGTCGGTGGTGATAGAACCCAGGGCCTTGCGCATATTAGGCAAGCATTCTACCATTGAACTCCATTTCAAGATCTTTTAGTTTTACTTAGAGACAGAGTCTTGCTAAGTTGCTGGCCTTGAACTTGCGATCCTCCTGTTCACCTTCCCAAGCAACTGGGCATTTGCTACTGTGCTGGGCCTAGATTAAATATTCTAAAAGAGTGATTTTCTTTAAGTACTAAAGATTAAATCCAGGCCCTAATGTGTGTTGGGTAATCACTCTACCACTGGGCTACATGTCCAGACTTTTCTAAAATTTATTTTGAGACTGAGACTCACTAAATTGCCCAGTCTGGCCTCAAACTTGCAGTCTTCCACAGCCTCTTGAGTAGCAGGAATTACAATTACAATCAAGTGTCATCACACCTGACTCAATTTCTTTTAAAAAAGAATTTTATGTCTTTTCCTAGATTTTATCAGTGTAGCATACATAACCATACAATTTTATTATTTTTCTGAAGATTTATAGACAAGTTAACCTGGAATTTCTTCCTAACATCTACACTTGTTTTATTTAATGGATAAGCTAGCATTTCTTCCAATAATGTTTAATATAATGGAAAATATAAAATGATGTAGCAACTAAATTGAATCATAATTCTAAAAATAAAAACATCCTCCATTATTAATTTGAGTTGGTTGGAATGTACTTCCTCATATGTAGAAGCAACACTTAAAACACCTGCACATGAAACTGGCTAAGCATTTGTCTCATGGATTACTGGATCTTAGAACTACAAGTGGTAAGGAAGGTCTATCATCCTGAACTTTAGTAGAATTTGGGGGATCTCATACTGATATGTGGTGGAAGGGAAGTCTGGTGATAATAACATTTTGCACCCGCCACATCTTGCCCCCTGTAAACTATATGTACAATTATATAGAGAACCACAAAATGACAACGGTAGAAGAAAATCTATGCAAATTCAATAATCTTGAATATGTCATTAGTATTAAGTCGTTATTTTGTACATTTTTAAGAAAAAAATACTAAGTCAACTATGACATGCCATTGATGGTAAAATGCATACTATTTCTTAGATGGTAGGATAAAATAATTATTGCATATATTAGAATTATATTATGGAAATACACTAGAAACTAACTTCAAAAAACAGTTTCTAAAATATTGGTAAAAAAATTAAAACAACATAAGCTCACTTTCCCCAACATAGACTAAAAAGACTTTTGTTAATTAGAGATATTCAATTGATGTATTATATAAGACAATCAATCTGCACCTTTAGTTGACAGATATAGTCCATTATTCCAATGTAAGGTGGCTGGCATAAAATTATGAAACAGGATGAAAATATATGGGCTTAAAATATCTTATTTCAGAAAATTAGAAGGGTTTCAGGAGAGATGTATGGGACTATGTAAAGATTTGTACTACTCCTATATTAGTGATAAATTCAGCTAAAAATCAATTCCAATCCATTTTTATACTTTTAGCCCATCCAAGAAACCTAGACTTCTATCATGTAAATCTAAAAGGGGAGAAGTAACATAGGGCATAATAACAGAGGGTGAAATATACAGTAGGTTCATAATTCTGTTTATGATATTGCTAGTCCTACTCATTAGTTTGGATCACGACACAAGTTACTAATCATACATGGAAGATAAGGACAGAAACTTTCTGGTCAACATTAAGAAGGTACTCTCAGGTATACATCTCATAATTTCTCACAATTTCC